CAGCTGGACGTCATACACGCTATTGAAGGCAACTGTGTCGACAATGAACTTGTAGTGTGTCTGACAATTTTTTGGTGACATTTCAGACAACCTTTGAAAATGAAATTTCTACCCCACCATTGTTTACCTTGAGCTTACATTACCAGTGATTGCACAATTTCATTAAAACTGTGGTTGATCAATCATTTGTTACCCCTCCCTAGATAATATTAAAATTCACAACAAACCTCATCTTGTTATTTTTGTTATCGATCATGGAACTCGACCTATACTTTCTTTTGCCGCCCATTTTATTTACTTAAACAGTCGATTACGTCCAGTAGTGTAATATTATTCACGAGACACGCAGGGTTCTGATACAACTGTTCCACTGCAGATCGTATATTTTCACCCAATGCCTTGATTCTGAAAACATCCCTGAGCAAGGAATTGATTTTTCCAAAACTTCTGATGCTATTGAGCATGATATATTGCTGTCAAACCTTATACACCTATTAATTATGTACATCGAACGACTCATAACAATGGAAAACATTGGAGGTCATGGTATGCCAAAGATGAGCTTTCCAATGTACTCCTCTGCTTACATGACTATCAGCAACTGTAGAAACGCCATCCGCAAACATGAGAGCAAAGAGATTATAGATTACGTACATCAGTATATATACTCAACATCAGTTCCCGTGACACCAATATTTCAGTGTATTTTTCAAACAAGTAAAGTTTGGTTTTAAATATTGTAGTACATGTATGGAATCAAGTCTCAAAAACGCAACTGCCACAAAAAAGCATGCATTCCATACAAACGTTGACTTTTATGCAAGCCACGAATGGGTATAAACGGGAAAAATGGGTTAACGGGATTCCATATGTATTGTTTAGCATTGTGCTGGCAACAACCAGCAAAAAAACAACAAAATTACGCAATTATTTAACATTACGTAACGCACGCCTGTCCGAAAATGAGCGTCTGCGAGCCATTGGTATGCTTGAAGCAGGATCGAGTCAACGCGATGTTGCAAGACAATTTAACGTCCACAGAAACACCATTTGGTGTTTATGGCAACGTTGGCAACAGACGAATGCAGTCAGAGACCATCCTCGGAGTGGCCGGCCACGCGTAATCAATAGTCGACAAGACAACTGGATTAGAACAATACACCTACGAAATCGAGCAACAGTGACTGCAAGAAGCATTCCTGGCCTTCGACGAATATCCTCACAAACCGTACGTTGTCGCCTCAGATGTGCAGGGATTGTCGCCAGAAGACCCGCGAGACGTCCCATTTTGACAGGAAACCACCGTCAAGCACGTCTACAGTGGTGCAGACAGCGTCTACGCTGGACGGCCATGCAGTGGGGACAAGTTCTATTCACTGACGAGTCTCGTTTTCACCTCAGCCACAGTGATGGACGGATTCGAGTGCACGGACGTCGAGGTGAACTTTACGTCAATCATTGTGTCATGGAAGAGGACCGGTTCGGGGGCAGAAGCGTTATGGTATGGGGTGGGATTACAGCAAGACAGAGGACCCGTTTGGTAGTTGTAGAGGGAAATCTCAATGGACAGCGCTACCGCGACGATTCATCGGCCCTGTTGTTCTACCGTTTTTGCGTCGTCATGGCCCAGGCATTATCTTTCAAAATAACAACGCCCGGCCTCATATTGCGCGACTTGTTCAGGATTCTCTTTAACAAAACAACGTGAATGTCATCCCCTGGCCGGCTCGCTCCCCTGATCTCTCACCAATCGAGCACATGTGGGATGAGATGGATCGGCGCCTTCGACGTCAACCACGTGTTCCACAGACACTCCAGGAACTTCGAAACATGCTCCAGCAGATATGGACAGATATCCCACAGGAATTTGTGCGACGCCTGGTCCATTCCATGAGACGAAGATGTGTTGCTTGCATCGCAACCAGAGGTGGACACACATGCTATTGATTTGTAAATTGACATTTGGCATGTTCATGTTTTTTTTTATGAAATCACGCATTTCACGCATTTCAGTATGGCAAATTAAACCATTTGAACACTTAAAGGAGTCTTTTATCAGTTGCAAACCGAAATTGTTTCAAAGTTGGTAGACAACATAACTTTGCATTAAATCTTATTCAATGTCACAGGAACTTTTGTTGTTCAGTATGTATTAATATGTGTAGCCAAAGGGGATCTGCTTGCCATCCCACTGAAGAAAAAGACTACATCCCCAATGTTAAAGTCTCTGGTTCGGGCTGTCAGAGCATCAACCGTGACATGGTTAATCTCCCGTTACATGCGGGCATAGCGGGAGTACGCCGATGCATATATCTCAAGTAGATACACAGTATGTAAGTTTTGTTTGATTGTTTGTTGTTTAACGCCGCACTCAGCAATATTCCAGCTATATGACGGCGGTCTGTAAATAATCGAGTCTGGACCAGAAAATCCAGTGATTGACATCATGAGCATCGACCTACGCAATTGGGATCGATGACACGCATCAACCAAATCAGCAAGGCTAACCACCCGATCCTATTCTATCCCGGGTGTTCATGGGTCCAGTATGTAGTAAATATATCAGAAACGACAATGCAATAAAAACATCCATAACTGAAAGAACACTCAATATACACAGACAATACGTGATCTCTGCTCATACCTATTTAATTCGCAAAAAAATAGAAAATTAAGTTTAATATTACTTAAAAACTCAAGTCTACTGCAAATGACATGTATGTCTGCGAATATGTCTGCACATGTATTTGTCTATCCCATACAAAGTAAACTACTAACTACTAACTACTAATTACACCCATTAGTACTTAATCATATTATCTATAGACCTTGGCGCGTAGAAATGTAACTTGTATATATTTTGGTCCAGTGGCCTCAATATTAGACTTGCTTTGTCTGTTGTTTTTATTTATTCATTAATTTTATTTAACCATCGAGCCTTAAGCAAGCCGGTCATTCACTGCGACGATGGCCTGTCAACCAAGACAGTGGCGAGATCCTAGAATCACCATGGGACTACCCACCATTGCATTGCATATCACCATGTCTAGATTCGCTGTATGGGGATAACATGAGCTGACTATGCGTCAAAAGATCTTCAGTCATATGGTGACAAACCTCTCTTGTATGCCGATGCTAAATCTGATAAACCTCATTCATAAGCTGTTGCTGTTTCTAATAAACCTCATTCATAAGCTGTTGCTGTTTCTAATAAACCGCATTCATAAGCTGTTGCTGTTTCTAAAAAAACTCATTCATAAGCCAATGCTGTTTCTAAGAAACCTCTTTCATAAGCCATTGCTCTTTCTAACAAACTCATTGATAAGCCGTTGCTGTATCTAATAAACCGCATTAATAAGCCGTTGCTCTTTCCAACAAAGTCACCCATAAGCCGTTGCTGTTTCTAATAAACCTCATTTATAAGCCAATGCTGTATCTGATAAATCTCATTCATAAGCTGTTGCTGTTTCTGATAAACATCATTCATAAGCCGTTGCTGTTTCTAATAAACCTCTTTCATAAGCCGTTGCTGTATCTAATAAACATCATTCATAAGCCCTTGCTGTATCTAATAAACCTCATTCATAAGCTGTTGCTGTTTCTAATAAACCTCATTCATAAGCCCTTGCTGTATCTAATAAACCGCATTCAAAAAACGTTGCTGTATCTAATAAACATCATTCATAAGCTGTTGCTGTTTCTAATAAACATCATTCATAAGCTGTTGCTGTATCTAATAAACATCATTCATAAGCCGTTGCTGTTTCTAATAAACATCATTCATAAGCTGTTGCTGTATCTAATAAACATCATTAATAAGCCCTTGCTGTATCTAATAAACATCATTCATAAGCCCTTGCTGTTTCTTATAAACCTCATTCATAAGCCCTTGCTGTTTCTAATAAACCTCATTTATAAGCCAATGCTGTATCTGATAAATCTCATTCATAAGCTGTTGCTGTTTCTGATAAACATCATCCATAAGCCGTTGCTTTTTCTAATAAACCTCTTTCATAAGCCGTTGCTGTATCTAATAAACATCATTCATAAGCCCTTGCTGTATCTTATAAACCTCATTCATAAGCTGTTGCTGTTTCTAATAAACCTCATTCATAAGCCCTTGCTGTATCTAATAAACCGCGTTCAAAAAACGTTGCTGTATCTAATAAACATCATTCATAAGCTGTTGCCGTTTCTAATAAACATCATTCATAAGCTGTTGCTGTATCTAATAAACATCATTCATAAGCCGTTGCTGTTTCTAATAAACATCATTCATAAACTGTTGCTGTATCTAATAAACATCATTAATAAGCCCTTGCTGTATCTAATAAACATCATTCATAAGCCCTTGCTGTTTCTTATAAACCTCATTCATAAGCTGTTGCTGTTTCTAATAAACCTCATTCATAAGCCCTTGCTGTATCTAATAAACCGCATTCAAAAAACGTTGCTGTATCTAATAAACATCATTCATAAGCTGTTGCTGTTTCTAATAAACATCATTCATAAGCTGTTGCTGTATCTAATAAACATCATTCATAAGCCGTTGCTGTTTCTAATAAACATCATTCATAAGCTGTTGCTGTATCTAATAAACATCATTAATAAGCCGTTGCTGTATCTAATAAACCGCATTCAAAAAACGTTGCTGTTTCTAATAAACCGCATTTATAAGCCGTTGCTCTTTCTAACAAAGTCACCCATCAGCCGTTGCTGTAGCTAATAAACCTCATTCATAAGCCGTTGCTGTTTCTAATAAACTCGCCCATAAGTCGTTGCTAAATCTGATATACCCCATTCAGAAGATAACACTGTGCGCATAAACATCAGTCGTGGGATGGCCGAAGTATTGTTTTTTTTCTAAAGAGTTGTCATGAAGATCAAAATATCATCACAATTATAACTACTTGAAACTAAACACGTCTCCACCGTGTTGACTCATGTATAAGGATTTAATTTAGTAGTCTCTCTATATCAAACACCTGTGCTATAGTTACCTGATATTGAGCTTGCATCATACCCCATCTGCTGTTGCCCGTGTCTCCTCCTGTGTGCAGGTGGCAGCTTCTGGTGGCAGCATCCCAGATGAAGGAGCCACACCTAGTTGTGTAGGTACACAGAGAACCACACACCAGGGAGGAGGGCACCACCCTGGAAAGGAACACATCCTGGCCTTGACATGTGATATAGCTACACACACCGTAGACTGTAATCAGCTGAACTACAAACATGTACATAGCTGAGGGTACTGTTAGACTTGACTTGTGATATAGCTACACACACTGTAGACTGTAATCAGCTGAACTACAAACATGTACATAGCTGAGGGTACTGTTAGACTTGACTTGTGATATAGCTACACACACTGTAGACTGTAATCAGCTGAACTACAAACATGTACATAGCTGAGGGTACTGATAGACTTGACTCCTGCGCTCACTATGCGGAGTATTGAGTAGACAAATGTCCATGAATATTTAATAAGTCCTGATGTTGAGAACGTGGATCATTGATGTATGTAAACAGAATCAATAGGATGTTCCGTCACGCACTGTGGTAAAATATCTAGTGTTAATATATCCTATTGATAATATTCCTATTGAGTGTTCCAATGAATGGTCTCTCTTTGTGGTTAGTCTTGGCTAAGTATAGTTGTCTTACACTTAACCTTTTAGCATGTTTCTTTGTTGCAAAAGGCGGGCTCAGTAATTTTCCAGATGGATGACGGCGGTCTGTAAATAGTCGAGTGTGACAATCCAGTGATTGAAAACATGACCATCGATCGACGCAATTGTGATATGATAATATTCATGAATCAAGTCAGACCACTCGAGCTCGATAGTCTCCTCTTAAGACAAGCTTGGGTTGCTGAAGGCCGATTCTAAACCGGATCTTCAGGGGACAGATTTTGAGGAAGCCTCATTGGTAGTCCATATAATGGTGAATTCAGAAATATGGTGGGTGTGATTTTTGCCTAATAATGCCAAGAGCATTATGTTATTGCTATTGGTAACAATAAGTATCATCCTTCAAAACATTGAGTAACATTGTTATGCTTTACCGGAACATCGGATAACAAGACGCACATCGTTATGTTAGTATACTAGAAGATCGGATAACAAGACTCTCATTGTTATGTTACATTAGAACATCGGATAACAAGACGTACATTAGTGTGTTATACTAGAACATAAGATAACAAGACGAACATTAGTGTATTATACTAGAATATCGGATAACAAGTCTCACATTGTTATGTTACATTAGAACATCGGATAACAAGACGTACATTAGTGTGTTATACTAGAATATCGGATAACAAGTCTCACATTGTTATGTTACATTAGAACATCGGATAACAAGACGTACATTAGTGTGTTATACTAGAATATCGGATAACAAGTCTCACATTGTTATGTTACATTAGAACATCGGATAACAAGACATACATTGTTATCCTGTACTAGAACATCGAATAACAAGACATACATTGTTATGTTAAACTAGAACATCAGATAACAAGACGTACATTAGTGTAATATACTAGAATATCGGATAACAGGTGTACGCCTATAGATAAGAATGTGTCCTCAGCACCCTATTGCTAGTCGTAAAAGGCGACCGAATTGGACAGCCCGTTTGCCATGGGTTGCGCCTCTGGAGGACGGGATTCTGGTGGTTAAGGGCACTGGAGCCAGGAACCGATGTTCCTTTTGCCCAACACACCACTTCGACCCCTAATTCACCTAGACGGGTGGTAGAATGGGCCCGGTTCTATCAATCGGCTGGTCACGCCATGCCCTGTGCATGGAAAACTTGTAATTAGAAATGTCAAGGAATAAATTGTTTATCATGAAATATGATAACGTTATCAATGCAAATTTATATTTTGCCTAGAATTTTATGCCTATCCTATAATTTGGTGATTTTTGTGTTTATGTAGGAACATGCCACGGGCCAAACCAGCCCCACATTTTTCCTTTTCATGTCTTTATTTCTGTAGTATAACATCCGCGTAGCCCTGGTGTTGCAGTCTGGTTTCCACTGTGGCACTGTGCTTGTTGACACACGATGGCGGGTGGGGGCAGGGGTGCTGAAATATTTTTATTTTACTCATGAAGGTTCGGATTGCATAGATGAGATCAAATGTGACAACTGGACGGACAGCGCTACGTTTTGGGTTTTTTTTAACGTGAAACTAAAATACATTTCTCAGACAGAAGCCAAAAATATACTTAAAATACTTTGTCAATCCTAGACTCGCAGAAAACCTTTTCAACTGCTGTGTCTTCCACAAAACCAGTTCCCAAAATGTCAATGGCTACTCAAACTGACATCTCTTAGGTACAGGCTGACATGATACACATAGGTGACCAGTTAGTGACATCTACTTCCCAAGCAGAGAGACTAACCCCATCTTCAACTCATTCTGAGGTATCAGAACCAGACACGATACATGAACTCAAAAATGTTCAAGATGAAGCCCATTTGTCAAAACGAAGCAAAGAAAATGAGAAGGACCACAGGACAGCCCATGGAGGTGCCTTCTCCTGCACGAACGACTCAAATGGCATTCAGTGGAATTGCAGAGGGCTCAAGAATAATTTTAATGATTAGCAGTTAACAATACAGGATTTTAAACCATCCTCATTTTGTTTACAGGAAACTTATTTTAAAGAACTCCACATAAGACAATATAATGCATATGGCTACTTCTCTCCCCCAGGACTACGAGCCACAGGAGGATCTTCAGTATTTGTGAGGCAGGTTTCTACACATAGCCATGTTCCTCTGGATATACCACTTCTAGCTGTTGCAGTCCAGTTTACCCTATATATTATATTTACATTATGCTCACTTTATGTTTCTCCATCTTCTACTCTTCAACAAACTGATCTTCAAGCACTATATGACAGGCTTCCCAAGCCCTGTATCATTATGGGCGATTTAAATAGGCATAATCCACTTTGGGGAAGTGCTGTTTCAAACCGTAACGGGAAGATATTTGAAGATTTCATTTCTGACAACGCTTTATGCTTTTTTAATGATACAGGTAAATATTCCTCTCTTGATGTAACACTTACAGCCTCATATTTGCCAGATTAATTCCAATGGTCAGTCCACTACGACCTCTGTGGAAGTGACCATGCTCCAACTATTCTTCAAACAATAGCTCCTACTGATGTTCCTCCATCATCAAGATGGAATTTCACTTTAGCTAACTGGTCCGTCTTCGCGTAATTCTGTACGAGCAAATTATATCCTTATCGTTTTGTTGATGTTCAAGATTCAATAATTTCCAAGTACTCTGCAAATCCACATATCTGTAAACCATGGTTTAATGATACTTGCAAACAATCTAGGAAGGCACGGAAGAAAGCTGAACATTGCTTCCGTCGCCATCCTATGGTAAATAAATTAAATAGATTTAAAACTGTAATGTTAAAGCACGGCGAACATTTAAGCAAAATAACCGCAAGTCTTGGCAAGCTTAGATGTCAAAAATATATTCACGAACGCCAATGTCCAAGGTATGGAACATGATTTAAAAATCAAAGGTAAGGGATCTACGTCTGGTATTCACCATCTTAAAAATGGGAATGAATTGTTAACTGATAAATCTGATATTGCTAATAAACTGGGTGAAACATTCTTCCTCATCCAACTATGTACCTCAATTCCAAAAGTACCAAAAACAGCAGGAAAAGAAAGTTATTAATTTTAATTCAGATAATTGGGAAGATTACAATGAAATATTTTCTATTCATGAACTACATCCTGCCCCCTGACAAGTTAAGGATACTGCTACTGGAGCTGATAACATACATTATCAAATCCTGAAGCACTTACCAGAATCATGTTAACAAACACTTTTATATATTTTTGATGAAATTTGGACGACAGGAAGATTTCCACCTTTTTGGCATATGCCATAGTTGTTCCAATACCTAAACCTGGGCGTGATCATACGTGATTCATTGACACGCTGCATTTGCAAAACCATGGAACGCATGGTACATAATCGACTAGTTTGGTACTTAGAAACCAATGCTCTCATTACAAATATACAATGTGTTTTCCCGTAAATATCGAAGTACTATCGATCATTTCGTACTTTTGGAATCATTCGTACAATATGCCTTAATAAAGAGACAACATGCAGTGTCCATCTTTATCGATCTAGAAAAAGCATATGACACTTTATGGAAACAAGGTATTTTAAAAGATTTACATGATTTTGGATTGCGATAGATCCATTTTTTTAACGGACAGACAATTTCAAGTCCTCGTGAGTTCTACCCTGTGTGATCATTATAATAGGATCAGGGTGTCCAACCAAGCAGTATCTTGACTGTCACATTATTCAGCATTAAGATCAATAGTTTATCAATTGTTTTAAATGATTTCATTGATGGATCACTTTTTGTGGATGATTTTAATATTTCCTGTCGTGGTTAAAACATGCATAATTTTGAAAGGCAACTCCAATTATGTTCAAATTATGTTTCTAAATCTAACGAATTTTTATTCATTTTTGTAGAAAAAATAAGCCACATAAGGACCCCGATTTAGTTTTGGATGGAACAACTATTAAAATAGTAAAAGAAGCCAAGTTCCTTTGTATTATTTTTTACCATCGCCTGAGCCTTCTACCACATATTAATTACTTAAAAGTTCATCGGCTGTAGCTGGCGACATACACAGTTTACATGTCCTAAATTCTCTATCTATACTTCGACAGGTACAGTATAGTTCAATGTTTTAGAATAGGATAATAAATTTGTTTAGGTAGGAGAAGAAAGTTTTCAAATGACGGGATATCTTTTAAATATTTATAATAATAGCCTTTTGAACTTCTCTCGACGTCAGATCTCCAATTTTGATAAAACTTATCTTTTCAAAGTTTTTCTATCTGCGCAATAACCCACTTGCAGGAAATGCTTTGTGGGTCGTAAAATGCATAGGACAGACCACACTTATTAAGTATTTGCTTCACAATTATCTTCCAGGCATTTTGTTCATTATTAGATAAAAAATGTAAATGAGCCAACTTAAAGATAATCTGCGATAGTGTATTATAGTGCACATCATGCACAGAGCGCTCATCCGCTCTAAATTGGATTATGGCTCCATCGTATATGGTGGAGCTTGTAAAAGCAATTTCTAACAAATAAGTGCTGTTCATCATCAGGGTCTGAGGCTTTGTCTTGGAGTTTTTTTAACCTCTACGATACAAAGTCTGAATGTGGAGGCTACGGAACCTCACATCAAATTGTCCTTACAGTACATTTCTGAATTACATTCTTCTAAATCCAATCAAGCGTACAACTGTGATTTTGATCCTCTTAGTCAAGAAATTTACAATAAAAATTATCACTTATTCCGCATCTTGGAATAAGAATACAACTTATATTTCTGTTGCTAAAAT